AGTATTCCTAAATGAAGATTGAAGCGGCCATGGTTTTCAGAGGTCAAAGATGTAGCCGTGTTGACATCGCTGGCACAAGCTGGCGCGACGCCAACTATGCCGGCTTTGCAAACTGTCTGACTCTTGAACTTTTTAAAATTACTACAATTAGAATCAGTCTATTCATATTTTTACTTTGTTTTATAGCGCAAGTATGAAAAAGGAAAGACTATCAGAGTGAACGGTTTAATATCCTTTAAGCAAAGCTCGTTAACTTAAACTAGCCCGATTGAGTCACGTTTGCATTATTGCCGTGTGCGTGATGTTTATTGTGTTTACACTTTTAAAGATTTCTCAAAACACATTGTATATCTAGAGAGCTAATCCCGTTTCGTTTCGTTTCGTTTCGTTGAATACAGATTCCCGTTTCGTTTCGTTTCGTTTCGTTTCGGCGATTATGGTAAGCCAATTCACTTCAAGCGAGAAATTACAACGACACGAAGGACAATTTCCAAAAATGTTTTTGGCTGTTTTTGACCCTGAAATGTTCTGTCATGACTCAAGAATACTCATAAATAGTGTAACCTACAACGAGGAAAAACACTGGCGTTATTGGACTGATTGGGACCGTTTAAAATCTTACTTAAGAAATGTTGATATTAATGACTTTGTGTTTACAATATGGAGGCTGCAGTGGTTTATATACGCAACTACTATTCCAGTTTTTGCTGAGTGCTGGTCAAGATTCAACGCAGGTTATGAAGTAAATGGTAAATATACACATGTGGTAATATAATTAGGCATCGTTTAGTAACATCGACCTCGAAATGTTCGAAAGACAGTTTCTTGAAGTGTACAATATTTACGCTTAAATATTATTAACTGTTACATGAAATACTACTTTCCTTTTATATACTACCAGGACTCATTAGAATAAGGCTACCAATATCAAGACTTATGCTTTGCAAATGGTTTGATAATGTTTTCTTGTCTATGAAAAATGTGGAACGGTGTTAATTCTGCAAATTCTTACGTGCTGTTGAGCACTCACGACAGATTTAGCATTCTTTTGGCTGAAGAGTTGAGCTTGTTTGAATCAAGTTATCATAAATATCTATGTGTAGTTCTATAGCTGTATCATTATAAGTTATGAAATAGACTATTGCAGTGAAATCGATTCACATCTTAGGAATTTATTATTGCTAAAGGTGTGCACAAATAATTCACTACATTTTAACGATAATTTTAACGATAATTTTAACAAAGTGGCTTCGTGTTATAAATCTAGCCCGAGACTCACAGTAATTTATATAAAGTTTGAAAGATATTCGTGTGCATTGTAAATATATCTACTTGGTTTTGTTTGGAAAAATGTGGAAGATAAGTAAAAACATCAATTATGTTCAGAATCGAAGCTTCCGCAGCTACTACAATGTTATTCTACCCGTATTCTAGAGCCCATGGTCATTATAACGCAGCGGTTGCGCGCATGCTCATGCATAACGGCCTCTTGTTACGAATGTGAGGTAGAGTTTTAATAGTTTGAGCTGTGCTTGTGTTTGTAAATCCTGGTTTCTATATTGCCGTTTTGTCCTGGCCATTATTCCGAGACCGAAAGCGACACTTAGAAATAATTTAGGAAAAATTAGTTCTGACCTCACTTTGCTTTTTATTTTTCATGTCTGAACTGACTTTTCGTGTGGAATTGAATGTTAACCAACGCCAACAACGGAAACCGAGAGCTATCTGTACATTTACCCTTACATATGGATGGAAGCAGTATACTTGGAACGAGCCAGAAAAAACAGTGAAGAATCGAAGGATCTTAAAAGCCCAGTGTGCACCATTATGCCTCGGGGGCCGCGAGGGCCTGAAGGCGGCCATTTTCAGTTACCGAAAGTCTATAACTTGTATTGTGCGTTTTGAATCTTTGACCATCTCACTTTTCTAAGCACTTTAAACGCTAATATTAGAGTTTTCAACCATCTGGCATTCACTTTATGGTGACATTTGGATACTAGAAGTATTTTAGTGTAAAACATAACAATAACAGAGGCGTGCGAGACATGATGGTGCAAACTGGGCCTTTAGGACCTACAGAAACTATCGCTAACGACAGGACAATCATTTCGGAAGAACATGATGACAATGCAAATTTTTGAAAAACCTAATCTTTCTGAAAAATTGTAAATTTTCGAACAACAAGAGTTATCTGTAGACCTCTTTTTAAATACTTTTAATTGTGATTTGGAAATATATACGCTAGAAATGCCAAATGCAACAAGCTTACCTCGGAAAACCGAATAGCACTCTTCAAACACTTACTTCTGACTCTTTCAGACTAAAGATATACACGCAATATTTTCTGCTATCTCATCAATTATTTTCACTACATGTCACTTCCGGTAAAAAATCCCTTGGAAAGAAGCCAAGTCAGGTATCGTAAGTGACCACTCTTGCGTGACGTATGAAAAAATTCCATTTATCTGACGGAAATTTCGATTCTCAGCTTAACAAAATATATATCCCAGTCGCCCAAAAATCATAAAAAATACTATTTAAGACTTGGAAACAACATACTACCAAAAATAAAGACCTTTCGAGTAAATTGTGAGTGAATATATCATTGTTGACATAGACGATAGCGAACGCGCATTTTTATTACGCCACAACACTGTCGCAATAAAAATTACGAAGAACTGTCAAATGATTTTGTAGCCAAATTCTAGTATAACATGATATTTCGATATTTGGACTGAAACTGAAAAGTTCCATCATAATAATACAAGCTAGTATACATTAATTATTATTTTTTGTTTACATTGAATTTTGTGCATCGTGCATCGTAGAAACGGGTTTAAAACACGCCATACTCGTTATTGAACACTTACGATGTTTGATATCATCGTTTATTTGATGAACAGCTGTCAATCAAACGCTGCATCATCGTTGATTTACCTGCAAAAGAATAGAGCGTTGTTCAGTATTCATCGAAGAAACTTTTGCAGACAAGCACTTTTCCTATCTCTTAGGACGTCATCATGACCACATATGGATATTTGGAGGTGTTTCGTATTTCCCAGTCAGCTGTGATATGAAAATTGCGTTGAAATGAAATCGCAACAGCCAAGATCTGAGTCGTTAAGATAGATGTCATATCTTTCAAACATTTTGATTTATTTTTTGAAGTTCAATCTGTATTAGAGTGAAGTCCAAAAACCTGAAAAATAATGTATTCTGTACTGAAAAAAAATTAATTTGCAGTAGCTTTTTTTTTAAAGGTGTCAATCATAACCAATTTTTTAACAAGATTTTTTCTGAGTTCAATTTCTCAACCTAAAATATTTCTTTCTTCATCTTTAAACTCTTTCAATTCTCGAAAACATCAATTAATTACTAATGATTATTAATCTGATCACCGATTGAAAATATCTCAAAACAGGATCAAGAATGCCATCTATTGCCTCTAAGACCCATGAATTGTCATTTATTGCTCTAACATTTGACATCTGACGTCAACAGCGTATAATCATTATTAGCCAATCAGATATACCTATCTTACAAACAGAAAGAAAAGTCAAACAGCACAGAACAATTCCTTTCCTTCAACGGCTTGTTTGGAAAAGGTAAGACAAATATGCTTCTCACAAACATAATGAAAGGTCACTAGTGTATATAGCATAGAGCTTTATCAATCATAACAATAATGGTTTAATGTTACATTAGGGGTGCTTTTGTAAGGTTAAGGTGATGCAACATGTGTAGAAATCAAATATCCTTCAAATGCCACCACATTGTTAGGATTTGAAAGATACACTTGAAAGTTACTTAAATATAAAACTTTATGAAGGTTCACTCAAGTATGTATTTGGACAAAACAGTTATCCATTGAGCGATAAAATTTATCGCTCAATGGATAACTGTTTTGTCCAAATATCATTTCCTTTGAGTTCCTCCTAAAATTTTGTAAAACGGGATATACGAGGCAATTGGCATAATATTCCTTTGGTTTCCTTTTTGCTTACTTCATGGTTGGCAAATGAAGCATTTCTGAATTTCTCATGCGCTTCAGTGTGTTATTTTTCATTTGGACTGTTTTAACAGTCAGTGTCTCGACATAAAATACAAAAGGTCTTCCAAACTTAATGGACGTATAATATGCTAAAGATTGTATAAGGTTTAAGTGACTAACACTTTCTCAGAGTGGGTTAGAATATGCAACAGCTAATTTAAAACATTCACTTAAGCAAAACATTCTTGCTTCCCTTCGACTGTGATAAGACACATAAATGCAATGTCATGTCAGATGAAAGCAAAGTCACCTTACATTGATTTTTAAATGTGCTATTCATGGATTGCTTGCTCTGAACAAAACATGGTACATGTTTTCATAAATTATGAGATATTATGTACATACTGTGAAAGTTCTGGCTTCTTTTGATCAACAATGGATAATAATTAACATGAGATGAAAACTAAACTAACTTGCCATGATATTTGAATACACCTAAAGTGAAGGGTCAGCTTGGTCTCAACTACACTTGATAACTGTCTTTGTATATTACTGTAAGAATACCTTTTTTTAATTCTAAAATATATTTGATTTGTGGATGTAATTGTTTGATTTGGGTAATCAAAGAGGACATGGCAACATTTAACACACAAACAATCTAATCGCAAACCAGTTCCTAAAAGTTGAATTCTTCTATAAATAATTGCCAGAGATGTTCAATAATTATATCGATATCTAATAAAATGTAACAGAGTTTAATCTCTTATGTATGAGATTAATTGTATAAAATATATGTATATATATAGTTTTCGTTTCATTAAATACTGTCTGATGAATGCGTAAGAATGAAACTCAGAGTCACAGCAAATCTTGCCTCTTTGTTGTTATATGTTATATATATATAGCTTTCATTTATGAAACAATTTAGTAAAACAATGGTGTGTTAAAGCTATGTCTAGGCACACAAAATAATGATGCTGCATCCATGTAAACAATGTTCATTGCTGTACACGCAATAATATTATTCTTGAAGAGCGTAGGTGGATGCCTTATAATCAGGTCATATCTATTTTAATGAATGACGTCAATTCGGTTTTGAAGCTATATAAACACAAGAACAT